GTCCTCCCAGATGGCAGCAGCTTTCCCCACTGCCCCTCGGAGCCTGTGGCACCCGTGTCTGGCTGCACCCCGAGGTGTGCCCTTGTGCCTCCCGAGCTGGCAGCACCCTGCAATGGTGCCTCTTAACCCATGTCCCACTGGCCCCCGAACTAGCAGCACCCTGCCCTCCAAACTGGCATCAGCCTGTCCTGGTGCCCCTGAACTATGCCACACTGCCCCAGATCCAGCAGCATCCTCCCACATCCCCCCGATCCAGCAGAGCTGTGCCACGCTGTTCCCTGGTTGGGCAGCGCCCTGACCCACTGCACCCATCCTGCCTTTGCCCCTCTGCTCTGCCTACCCACTGGCAGAGCAGGCAGCCTGCCTGTTGGATCCGAGGGACAGAGCAGAGCCTGGTGTGTTGGCAGGGAGGAGAGTAGGCTCCAGGAGTGCTCTTGCTGACCTTGTCCCCAGTCTGACACCGATGCAGTGCCCCCTCTTTCTGCATGTCTCGGGTGGGATGGTGAAGGGTGCTCGATGGGGACTATTTGCTGCACTCAGGGATGGGGACAACCTGTTACTACAGTCAACTTACAAGTGCCCTGGGTCAGCGGGAAGGAGGTGGGGGGGAATGACACAGAGGACGGCAGAGAAGGGAGGGTGATGCTGGACGAAGGTTACTCCATGTTTTAATATTGCCAAGAGAATGCCTGAGGGTTTCAGGAATGCAGATAAGGAGCCGCACGGCCTTGCTAAGAAACCTGGCCACCAGCTTCAGCACTGGGTTACAGCCCGAGTGAGCTCCTGATGAAAGTGGGGGGGAGCTGGTGCTGCCCCTCTGACCACTGCACTCTCCAGTCGGGGGCTGGTGGGTGAGCGTGGGTGGCTGTGATGGCAGGCACTGAGAAAGGCTCTGACTGGGGTTTCTGACTGAGGTGTTGATAACACTGGGAGGAGAAACTGCTTGCATGCTGGCTTGACATCTCTGCAACTCTATGTGTCCTGGAAGCAGATCCCTTAGGGCAGGGACCATGGTCCAGGGTGGTTCTCAGGCTGGGGACTGTAGCAGAGGATCCCCTGCAAGGCATCACCAAGACTGGGGACTTGCACAAGTTGTAGTTGCTGGTGACTGGAGCCCTAGGTTTAGGCTGGAATCTGCCTCCTCTGGGGAACAGCTTTAAGGATACTCGAGGAAGCAGTGAGCTCCTCTGGTCCATGCACCAGGGAAGTAGGTGACATCATATTGCTTGAGTTGGAGGCAGGAGAGTGCTTCTGGCTCTGTTGTCCTGAGAGTGCTCCCACCACCTGCTCTAACCCAGCCAGTGCCTCTCGGTGCCCTTGGGAGAGGGAGACTTCCATGTGCCACCTACCAGCCTAACATTTCCCACTCTACTGCTACATTGCTGGCAGAGTACCTGGAAGCTCCCTGGTCTTCTTGGAGTGCCCAAATGAGGGTTCTTATTTCATCAGGGTCCCTGGCCACCACACATCCATGCCCAGATGGGTACCGCTGTGCCTTGGGCAGCTCTGCAGGGAATTATTCCCCTTGCTATGGAGGCAGCATGATTTCTAGTAGCTTGCTGCCATTCCCACAGCCCTTTGGGCTTGTCCTATGGCCCCTGACTGTGAGACATACCCCCAGACATAGGAACTCTGGCTCTGGCACCATGTCCTGTGTTGCTATGGGTTGGGAAAGGCCACTGACCCAACTCCTTGTCCCTTCCCCCAGTGCACTGGCTTTTACTGCTGTTGACTCACTTCAAACCTGTTTTCTTTCCCCAAGTCCAAGGGTCTGGGTGTCCCAGGCAGCCGGAAGATGCCGCCTGCTTAGAGGAGTGGGTAGTGCTGCTCTCTGCCCGCCTTTCCTTTATCGTTTCATCTTCCTCAAGAATTCCAGTGTGTTTGCTCTCACTGGTCCCACTCGGAGGTGCTGAGATAAGGCTGGAGGCAGAGCATGCCTCACCTCTCCCCAGCAGCCTGGCCCAGGAATGTCTTGGGTCCCCTGCCCCCATGGAGTCCCAACCCTAAGCCTCTCTCTACCCCAACCATCACTCCTTGCAGCCACTGTTTGCCCAACTGACATGGAGACCATGGTACCAGACCTTGCAGTGGTGAAGACTTTATCATGGAGACCTTGGAATAGGACTTTTGGCTTCCTTTGGGAGAAACCTCACTTGAGGAGGAGATGCTAGTAGGACCCCTCTTCTCCTGGCCAGGCTCTGGACATGGGGGAAGCTGTGACCAAGCACACTCCATTCACAACACCTCTGCTGAGACTGTGGTCACACCTGAGTGTCCTGCATACCTCCCCTGAGATGATCCTGAGGTCCCTTCTGGCTGCACCCCATCTTGGAGCTCTGCTGTTCCTTCCAGACCTGCTGCCTTCTCTAAAGAGGTTTGGCTTGCCCCATAGGACATAGTTCTGTCCCCAGTCTGAACTCGAGAAGGGAGATGCAAAGGTTGGGCCATGGGTAGAACTTCTCTGCTCAGCCCAGCCCAACATCCCCAGGGTCTTCACCATGATATGTATGGGGCAGCAGAACCACCAGCTCAGCATGGTCATATGGGGCTCTGTTCTACATGTGACCTGGCGGTGCCCCGTCATCTGCACCACTGCAGGGACAAGCTGTGTCCTCCCTGCAGCCACCATCAGGCACAGACCCTGTGGATGGCCCATGCTTATGGGTTTCTTGGTCCCTGCCTACCTGTCTATGCCGGCAGCAGAGCTTCTGGGTGGGCAGTGCCCATCCCTACCTGCTTCTTGCTGCCCATGCCTGCTCCCTGACCATTGCTGCCTGCTCCTTGCCCATCCCTGTACATCCCCATCCTTTGTTGTCTTCTCTCTGCCTCCTGTGCCTGCTCCCTGCCCATCCCCACCTGCTCATCCTTGCCTATCATTACTTGCTCCCTACTTATTTTTGCTCATCCCTGCCTGGTCCCTCCTTATAGTTGCTTCTTCCCTACCCATCGATGACCCTTCCTTGTCCACTGCTGCCCTGCCAACCCGTGCCTGTTCCCCACCCCTTACTACCTGCTCCCTCCCCGACCTGCCTGTGCCTGCCTGGTCCTTGTCCATTGGTTCTTGTTCCCTGCCCGTCCCTGCCGGTCCCTGCCCGCGCTCTGACACCTGCTGGCCACCAATGGCACCGGCAGAGCCGGGGACAGGATGCTCCGAGGCTCTGCCTGACGCTGTCCCTGCTTAGGGGAAAAGGCTTGGAGGGTCTCTGTGTTTCTTTGAGGGCAGAGTGCCCCTCGAGGACAGAAGGGCTGGCAATGAGGGCAGGAGGGGTGCCCAGAGCGGTGTGCTGGCGCGGGAGTGGCAAGGGGATGCCTGAGTGATGGCGGGAGGATGCAGGGGGGCATTGCATTGCCTCCAATGCTGAACCCCCTTACTGCGGGGTCTCGGTGGGGGTAGGGGCTTTGGGAGCAGCTTGTGCCATATGCCAAGTGTCACCACGGTGGTGCTGGATGGGGACAAAAGTCACTCCCTCCCTCTTCCTCCTCCCCTCACCTAGCAAACTGTTTGTCCAGCACCTTCCTGGCTTATCTCCCCACACCCAGGGAGCCATGGGATGACGGCAGATCTCATGTGGGGCAAAGGCCTGCCTGGCACTGCCCTTCCCAGGGCCCAGACCCTGCCAAGTTCAAACGGGTTTCCCCAAGAGCAGCAGCACCCACCTTCCTGGGATGAGAGCAGGTGCTTGGGGATAGGCACTCCCTACATTTTTGGGAGTGCAGCTCCCTGCAGAAGCAGTGCTGGGCCATTTTTGAGCCCAGGGATGTAGCCTGCATCAAGTTTTAAAGCTCTGGCTCACGCTTGCTGTGGCTGTCTCAGTGACCCATGACATACTGTGGTGGGGAGTCCCAGTACTGAGCTGGGCATCATGCAAAAATGTCCCCAGGTGTGGCTGTTTTTTAAGCTGCTGTCCAGTCATTTCATTTAATGCTTCCCAGAACTGGCCTTGTGCATGGTAATGAATGCTCTGTCCTTTGCCTTGATTTTATGGGACTCTTCAGGACCTCACAACATCTCCTTTCCGGGCTGCGCAGCCCTAGTCTGTTCAGCTGGGTTTCTGTAGAAGCTTCCATATTGCTTTTCCTACACTTTTTCTATGTCTCCTCCATCCCTTTAGCAGCAGGACAAGGGACCAGAAGTGGGAGCTGTACTTATGCAAGTCAAGCAGACAGTTTTGGACCCTCCCTGAACTTCGGGTGTAGCTGGGGGATGTGGAGCAGTGCAGAATGAGGCTGGGAGGACTGCAGGACAGGCATTTGGGACTGGCATCCCTCTGCTTGCTGGGGAGCATCACCACAGGGGGATGAGGCAGGGCATTTACCTTGCTTGTGTGGCACTCTGAGCACCAGGTCTGGTGCTTTTAAGATCTGCTACTGTTCCTCAGCCCAGGCTTTTCACTCCTCTTGTGGTGGGCAGAGGTGAAGGGGGCTTCACATCCTTTCTACTCCAGCACAACAGAGCTCTTGAGCAGTTATGGCACTACCCATGCGAGCAGAGGACGAAGCTGTGAGGCTGCTCAGTGCTGTGTCCTTGTTACTTAGTACTTGAGGAGTCATACCAAGCAGAGCTCTTCTGAGGACTGGGCAAGTTGTTTTATTTGTGCCTGGGGATAGTGCTAGGGACCCTGGGCCATCTTCCCAGCCAGGAGGCAACAGAACTGAAGCTCCTGCATCCTCCTCCTTTCCCAGATGGGAACCCCTGGTGTGGTGCACACCTCTGCCAAACAGTGGTATCAGGCATGCAGGGAGTCTGGAGGGCATGGGATAGACAAGGCACCTCATGTTCTCAGATCTTACTCTGCTGGACCAGTCCCCAATAGGCCTGAGGGCCCAAAGAGGCTTAATGGAAGCATGGCGGGATACAACCTGCCAACCAGGCAGCTAACCCCTCTCTCCAAAAAGCTTTTACTGACTCTGTCCCTCTGCCCTGCAGCGCTGCAAGGACCGCTTGAACTCCCTGGCCATCTCTGTCATGAATCAGTGGCCAGGGGTGAAGCTGAGGGTGACAGAGGGCTGGGATGAGGATGGGCACCACTCAGAGGAGTCGCTGCATTACGAGGGCCGAGCTGTGGACATCACAACCTCAGACAGGGACCGCAACAAGTACGGCATGCTGGCTCGCCTGGCTGTGGAGGCTGGCTTTGACTGGGTCTACTACGAGTCCAAAGCACACATCCACTGCTCTGTCAAGTCAGGTAAGACAGGGGTAGGGGGCAGTGAGCAGGGCCAGGGGCCAGACCCCCTCTTGCAGCATGCCTGGGGATCTTGGCTGGCTGGGTGAGGTGCTCCTGCAGGGGGTGCTGGCTCTTGCAACCTGATTTCCCTATCTAGGCCAGACAGTCAGGTGGGGAGTGAGTCACACACCTGTGGCCAGCAGTGCCATAGGGCAAATTCCCCATCTGGCTCCCATAGACCTACATCCTGACCCACTCTCTCTACTCCCCTCCTTTTCTTGGCCCACATCCCCTTCTCCCCAGCTTGTCTGCCCAGTCTGCCCATTGCATCTGTCTCCATGCCTCTGCCCTTGCAGTCCCTTAGTGCCCATGCTCAGCCTTATTCAGCCCTGCCCTCCTCCACTGCTGCCTGCTCTCGAGCATCCGCTGTCCAGCAGCATCTGTCCAGCCTTGCCTAGCCAGGGATGGGGGCAGAGACACCCAGACAGGAATAGGCCAGAGTGCCTTGGGATCAGCTTTTCACTGTGCAGCACCATCTGCGGAGGGGAGCAGAGATGGGTGGTGCTGTGAGGGGCGCTATCGTCGCTGGTGGCGTTTGCTTCCCTCCGTGTGGTGCATGGGGGGCAAGGAGGGAGCTGCTCTCAGCTGCCCGTGGCCAGGAGGGGATTGCGTAGGGTGCGAGGTCCCCCCAGCCCGGGCAGAAGCAGCCCTGCCCGGGATGCTGCGCTCGCCGGAGCGGCCTCGCTGGCTGCGGGGGCTGCAGAGGGCAGCAGCCCCCGCGCACGGCCACCGGCCACCGCCGGGAGGGGGCCGTGCTACTGCCCGTGTCCGCGACAAGCTGGGGAGGGCTCTGCCTGTGCGTGGGCTTACGTGGACACAGAGGCAGCCTCGGCGGCTGCATGCACAGCCCCCCGTACCGAGAGCCGTGCTTGCATGCGGAGCCCTTGCACACGCAGGCACAGAGGGCTGTGCCAGCACACGCACGCCCACACCCGTGCCCGCGTTCCCGTGTGCCACACGCCGTACCGCGGCGGTGCCGGGGCTGGTGCGCCGATGCTGCTCCGCGCCTCTTGTCCCCGGGCTCGGCTCCCACCGCGCTCTGCCTGTCCTACTGCCCTAGCCCGCAGCCAGCGGCTCGACACCCCCAGACGCCAGCCTGGCCCCCCGCGCTGACCCGCTCCCCCGTGCTGATGCCAGGACGGGCACAACACCAGCCGGCGATGGAAGTGGGGCGACCGCGCCATGGAGAGGGAGTGATGCGCCCCCGAAGAAGAGGGACAAAACGTGGGAGAAGGACCAGGGCTTCCGTGCCCCGTGACACCCTGTGGGGCTGACCAGAGGAGTGGGGCCAGGCTCTGAAGCAAAGACAATGACCCCGGAGCCTTGGGGCTGGCCAGAGGAGTGTGGCTGTGCCCCTGGAGAAGGACAGAGGCTCTTGAATCCTGGGATGTCCCCCCGGACCAACCAAAGAGGGATGCCATGACCCAAGCAGCAGACTGGGGCCCTGAGGCCCTGAAGGGCTTCTAGAGGCTGGTCATATTCCCCTTGCTCTGCAGCAGCTCCTCAGGGCTCTGGGTCCCCCATATTTATCCCCAAGGTCTGGGGAACCCAAGGGTGCATTGCGGAGGCTGTGGGGTACACATCCTGATCCCTGCAGAACTGTGTACAGAGGGCAGCCGGGCTGCCCCTGCCTCTTAGTAAATGGCTTTTATTTTTGTATGGATGGCCACACGACCTGTTGTATTGTATTGTGTCTCCTCGGGTCCTCCTCTGCACCTGCATACCCCTCCATGCCCAGCATCTATGCCTTCCACTTTCCGCCAGATGCCCCTCTCTCCCTTCTGCAACCCCTCCCCACAGCTCTGCTGCCTGCCATGGGATGCAGGGTGCAAGATTTGGGACCTGGCCTTCCAGGGCAAGGACAGGGCAGACACTGCACCTCATCTGAGCAATAAAAGGATTCTGTCCCAGAGATGGATGCCTCTCTTCATGGGCCTGGGGGCTGGGATGTGGCTCTGCCCAAAGCTGGGGAGTGATGGGAGCTGTGCCATTGGGGTCGGAACACTCAGGGATTAGATGAGGGTGTTGGGAGAGGGTCCTGAGAAGGGCTTAAAACTCAAGGATGGAACTGTGCAGGGCTAGAGCAGGACCTTAAGGTGAGATGCCACTGACAGATGGTGGGAGGGCATAATATAGACACTAAGATGGGGGTTGCTGGGACTTGAGGGAACAGGGCAGCTGGGATAGATAATCACCATTTCTTGGGAAGCCAGGGTTACCCTGCTAAGTGCCAGGATGGACCCCTTGTGACACTTGGTGACTTGCTGCACCTTTTCATCTGGGGAAGGGTAGGACCTCTGTGACACCATCCCAGAAGACAAGCCCCAGAGAGTTTGGGTCCTTTACCCTGTGGCAGGGAAGCCCTGCCCAGAAGGCTGGTGACTTTTGCCTGATAATGGCCACAGGTTGTGACAACTCCCTGCAATCTAGAGAAGGGGGGTTGGCTGGCATAAGTGGTGCAGGGTTGAGCAGGTGGTAGAAGGAGCAGGGCTGCAGCACGGAGTGGAGTGGTGCTGCAGTGCTGGGGAAGGACACTGCATCCTGCACTGTTCTTGTAGTAGCCTCCCAGGTGGTACTCAGGACCAGCACTGCAAGGAACAGAGATGCTGTGTGTATGCAGACTGAGACCAGGCACTTTGCTCCTCAGCCTGCCACTGCTCAGGACTCTGCCACTGCTTTTTCAAGCTTCAGGTGCCCCCTGGCACTGACTGTCTTGCACATTTGGAGCTGTGGTTGTGTCCCGTTCCCCCCGCTAGGTTGGTTTTGGGACCTGGCTCTTTAGAGCAGACCCAATGCCCTGGTACCATGCTAGAGCCCCCAAGTGTCACCTCAAGTGACATGGTGGCTGGGGACTAGGTGCCTAGGGGGGCTGGATTGATGGCTGGGGGTGTGTAGGGAACACACTTATATTTGTGATGCCAGGACCAGGTTATCCCTGGGTGGGCAAAGCTGGGCAGCCTGGGAAGGTGTCCACGCCTTGTGGAAGGGTGATGCCGAGGCTCTGGCTAACGGGTAACCCTCCTGTCCTCTCTCTCCCTGCGCAGAGCACTCGGCCGCTGCGAAGACAGGGGGCTGCTTTCCTGGGAGGGCACTGGCAACGCTGGAGGACGGTGCCCAGACACCACTGTGGGCACTGCGGCCGGGCCAGCGAGTGCTGGCAATGGACGGGGCGGGCAGGCCCACCTACAGTGACTTCTTGGCTTTCCTGGACAAGGAGCCCCGTGCCCTAACCACCTTCCATGTCATCGAGACGCAGGAGCCGCCCCGGCGCCTGGTCCTGACGCCCACCCACCTGCTCTTTGTGGCAGAGAACGCTTCAGCACCCACCGCCCACTTCCGCCCCATCTTTGCCAGCCTTGTGCGCCCTGGACATTTCGTGCTGGTGGCTGCAGGGGGAGGCAGCTTGCAGCCTGCCAAAGTGGTGGGGGTGCGGGACCGGAGGGACGTGGGAGCCTATGCCCCGCTGACACGCCATGGGACACTGGTGGTGGATGGTGTGGTGGCCTCCTGCTTCGCCCTGGCTGCAGGAACAACAGCTGGCACAGCTGGCCTTCTGGCCACTCCGGCTCTACCACAGCCTGGTGGGGTGGCCAGGGGCACAGGGGGATGGTGTGCACTGGTACTCAGGGCTGCTCTACCGCCTGGGCAGGCTGCTCCTGCCCCCCGACAGCTTCCACCCACTGGGGGTACCCCGGGCGGAGAGCTGAGGGTGCACCGCAGCTGCAGCCAGCACTGCTGGTGGAGGTGGTGGCTGCAGGGTGACTCACTGGGGGCCAGCATCCCCTCCCAAACCTGGATGCCCATGGGGAGCTGCCTCCAGCCCTGCCTGCTTGGGGTACAGCCACCTCCTGGTCAGGGGGCACTGAGGCTCCCCGGCTTGCCTACTCCATGCCCAACCCCCCCTCCCCTCCTGTTCCTGGGGGCACGGGGGAGGCATGAAGGGCTTCCCCTGGGACAGGGGGATGCCCCAGCTGGATCCACATGCTGCTATGTGTGTGTGTGTGTGTATGAGATGTGTGTGTGCATGGGCTGAACTAGCTAATGATGGAGGTCTGATCAAGGAGTGGGGCCTGGAAGAGGAGAGAGCTGTGGCTGCTACTCCGGGACTCCCAGACCGTCTGCACCCAGGGGGGAGGCTTTGGGAGAGGGGCCTTGGGCCCCTTTGCTAGGCAACCTGGGTGGGAGGGCAGGCAATGCTGTTTCCACCTCTGGGACATGGTAGATAGGAAGACGGTGGTCCAGGTACTGGGACAGCTCTGGCGTGAGAGCTCTGTCTTGGTGACAGAAGTGCCACTGGAGTGATAGACTGGGGAGTGGGATGTCAAACTCTGCAAAGCGAGCACTGTAGCCACCCAGTTGGTCATGCCCATGGGGCTCCTGTGACAGCATGGAGGGCTCTGGCTGCAAAGGGGGGGCTGCGGAGGCAAGCACATGGGCAAGAGGGTGCAAGTGTCAGCCAGATATGGGCACACACTAGTAGGAGTAGGGGTGGGGAGAGCAAGGGCTGCAGCCCCGGTCTGCTGGAGCCTGGGGAAAGAAAGCGGCAGGGAAGAAAGCAGTCCCTCCCTTGCCTTCCCAGTATCCTGGCCTGAGATGGCTTAGCCCAAAAGCCTGTCCCACTGCAAAGCTAAAAAAACTCCTCAAGCTTCAGACCCTGCCTGGCCTGACCTCCACAACCCACCAGTACCCCAAAGCCTCAGGGTAACTCATTGCTGCTCACCCACTCCTGGGACCTGCAGGGAGTTAGAGCTGTGACCACAGTTCCCCCCCTCCAAACCCTAGCTGGAGCCTCAGCCTCCCCTAGCTCCACATTAGCAAAGGTGAGAGGGCTGAGGGGGACTCTGACCCACATTCCCCCTGCAGCATCAGGCGTCTTTATTTATTTATCTGCTCTTTGTATGTACCATAGAGGCAGCGTGGGGGCATGCAGGCTGAGATGGGAGTGGTGGGGGGAAAGCTGTTTGGTTGGGGGGTAATTTTTTTTTTAAACAAAAAGCAGAAATTATTTAAAGATTATTTTAAAGCACAGCTTTTTTGGTGATTGTTGTCCAAGACGAAGTGAGGGAGTGTGAGCATGGCCGACAGCAGGTGTATTTTTGTCTCTTCACTGGATGTACCTTTCCTTATTAGGGACACGGCCCAATAAATCCATCATCTCCCAGGAGGGAGCTCTGAGCTCTGGTGTGGAGAGGGCAGGCAGAGATTGGGGATGCTTAATGCGCCCATCATAGCTGGAGACTGTGGGTTTGACCCAGGGTACATGGGACCAAAGTGTTATTGAGGCCACCTGGAAACTAGAGCAAGAGGGGTAGGATGTAATAGGTATGGCCAATGCAGGACTACCAGGACACCTCTCTATCCCAGTTTGGACCCATCACCCCAGCATCCATCCGTGCTGGGACACCTTTCCCCACCATTCCTATCACCGCTACACCCACCAACCCAGTCCTACCAGAGAAGATGGACCCCATACCCTGTAGACAGGGTTTCCGATGTCACTAGTGCTAGTCACTGCTGACTGTCTCCTCACCCTCTGCCAGCCCTCTCACCCCTCTACCACATCCCCATGCCAGCAGAAGGGAAGATCACCAGCCAGCACCCCACAGTGTATCCCCATACCTGTCCCACCCACACACCCTTCTATGCACCCCCTGCCCCATCTCCAAGCTGCCCTGCCTTGGTATCTTGGGTGGGGCTGGGAGCAAAGTCCCCTCAGGGCTTTCCCTGGACCCCACAGCATGGTAAGTGCTAAGCAATTCCACAGCAGGCTGTCAGTGAGGGCCCTCATCACCATGGCTAATTTAAGGGCACTGCGAGGCGGCTTAGCTAATTTAATTAGGTTCTTATTACAGAGAAGGACAAATTGGTCCCCGTGGGGGCCATGGGGTCAGGCTTTTGAGAGGCACTTTATGGAGTGAAATTTCAATCAAGCTGTCGTCGCAGACAGGGGGAGCTGGAGGCAGAGGATTCATAGGGAGAGGATATGCTCTTTGGGGGGCCTGGTGGTGGTGTGGGGCAATCATCTCCATGCTCCAGTGAGCATGTCAGAAGAACTCTGCCGCATTAGGAGGATGCTGCAGGGTATATGGGGGCTCCTTTGGGGTGGAGGCAGGAAAAGTGGGGCAGGAAAAGCTCCTGGCTCTCAGCTGGCCCCAGGGCAGTGAGAGGAAGAGTGGGACATCCTTAAGTAAGATTCTGCAGTCTTTCTGAGGCTCCATTAACTCCCCCATAGCCCCATAACCCCCCATGGTGAGGATGTTGAGGGCAAAATGATGTCCAGCTGATAGATGAGACATATGGGGGTCTCTTCCTTGCCTGGATGTCCTCCCCTCTCTTGTCAGTCAGCCCCAGGAGAGCCAGGACAGCCTGGGGGCTGCCCCACTGCCCATGGGCACCTGAAGCAGCCCCATCTCCCAGCATGCCAGTTCTGGGCAGGTCCCAGCACCACCAACCATCCCAGCTGGGCAGTGATGGATGGGGATGCTGGTGGGTGGCCGGCAGAAGGGCCGGGCTGGAGAGTCCAACAATGGATGTCTCTCCATCAATTTGTCCTCATTACCATGTGAATGGTGGGCGGGATGGAGAGGAAGGGCATGTGGCCCAGGAGAAACCCCCCACATGCTCCCATCTGGGGTAGCATGTTCCCCCTTCCCATCCCTCCAACCCTGTCTGAGCATGTTAAACCATCTTCAACACCCCTCGGGCCTCTAATTCAGGAGAAGAGAGGTACCACCCTCTATTCAGAGCCTTGAAAAGGCTACAGCATCCGGCGCTGTTAACAAGGGGGGACATGGTCCCTGTCCCCGCCTCTCCCGTCTGTCCCTTGCCCCACGGCCTTCTGCTGTGGCAGCACAAGCCAAACCCGCTCCCAGCTCCAGGCTGGCATGCTAAGCGCCAGGATCCCGGCAAAGGAGCAGCAGGGAGGCACTGGGGCTTGAAGAGCGGGAGCAGAGCGCCCTAAGTGCATCCCCTGTTTGTGGCAGTTTTGGGCAGCACAGGCAGTGAGAGAGCAGAGTGGGATCCTGTGGGTCTTCAAGGCCAAACCTGCCCCTCTGGGCATGGCAGTGGTATGTCTCCAACGTCCCTGAGCTCTGGGTCCAACCAGGTCCCCATGGCCTGGGCAGTGATGATGATGGGAGGTGGGGGGTTACCCCGAAATATTTGTACCTGCAGGCATCAGTACAGCAGGTTGCAGAGATTCTTCTTCTGGCGAGGCCACACCAACCCAAACTGCTCCCCTAAAAGCCCAGAAGAAGCTGCTTAGCCCTGCACACTGCCCACCAGCAGGTGTCCACAGAGGGAGCTGGTACCAGCTTCCCACTCTCACTTGCATTAGCGTAATTAAACTTAATGGCTTTTTGGAGTGCTGCTGCTCCAGGAGCAGAGGCAGGACCCTGTTCTCTGCAGCTTTGTTGTGGGTGGTGTCCCAGTGCCCTGTCCTCGAGCCCACAGAAGCCCCAGGAAGTTGTGTAGTGTGTGCTCTGGAACCCATCCTGCACAGCAAACTCCTCCCCCACATATTGCCCCTCTGCTCTGAGCCCCCCAGCTTCTGCCCCTCTGTCAACTGTGGCACCCATGAGGGGACAATCCTGGGGACATCCCCACATTGCAAGTCTGCAGAACCCCTCTGCCTCTGTGTGGCAGCTCCTCACGGTCAGGGATTAAGGTGTTTTAGCCTCTGGGAGTCAACCACAGCCAGCTGTGCCTGTATGGACACCTTGGACAAACAGACACACGCATCCATCCCCTACACATACCTTTATCCCCTGAACAGACACCTGCCCATGACCTCACTAGCTGAGCCTGAACACCTACCAGCTCTCAGAATCACCATGCAGTCCCCAAAATTACTCCCTTTCCATTCTATATCCTTTATATCCCAGCAGCACCCAGGTGTCCCTGTGTCCCTGATCTCTGTTCCCTCCAGGGACAGTCAGGGGGACATGTACATGGCCCATTGTGACAGCACAGACACTAAGATGGAAGGACATGGGCAACCTGTGGCAGTGCCCATCTCTCCAGCCATACCCACCCCACATCTCCGGGGTGCAGAGAGCACCCCGGACCCACAGAGTGGGCTGACATCTCCCCTCATCCAGGGTGAGCCCTGTTGACCCTCCTGCCGGAGGGGCACCCTTAGCTCCCTCTCCCACAATGTAGGGTACAGAGCTAACACACCAAAGCCCACCTTTCCCTTCCCACACGCCCTCCCCAGTCATCACGACCCACTCAGCACCCACTGTGGGTCCCCACTACAGGGTAGGCAGAGCTGGGCATGATGCCAGTAGTCCCCCACCTTCCAAACAAGTGAGGGGCAGGCAGAGGCAACTGGGGACCATGCAGGGGGCCTGGCACCGGGCATCAGTTGCTACCTCATACGCTATCCCAGTATGAGATGGGAGGCTCCCAGCACCACAAGAGCAGCCAGCAGGATACAGTCCCAGGAGAAACCCCACAGCCATCCGGCACTGACTGACACTGGCTGTGTGGTGCCCCAGGGGGAGTCAGGATGGGGGGTGTATGAGTATGCATCCACACGCAGGGAATGAGTAAGAATCTAATCAGAGTCCTTTTCCTTAATAAATCATTCGTCTTAATCCAACGCCCTCCCTCCTGCTCTAATAACTCCCAGCGCTGGGCCCCACAGCCACAACAATGCAGCTAATGGAACGATTTATTTTCATAATGGTGCTAGTGGGGAGAAGGGGTGGCCGGGGTGGGGGCAGCATGCTCTGGGGCAGGAGTTTCTAATTAGTGAATGAAACTTGATGTAAGGCTGGAGGAAGATGGATGCGCTTCCTGAC